CAGGACGGCAGCTCACCTGGCAGGACGGCAGCTCGCCTGGCAGGACGGCAGCTCACCTGGCAGGACGGCAGCTCACCTGGCAGGACAGCAGCTCGCCTGGCAGGACAGCAGCTCACCTGGCAGGACGGCAGCTCACCTGGCAGGACGGCAGCTCATCTGGCAGGACGGCAACTCACCTGGCAGGATGGCAGCTCACCTTCATACGGCCGATCTGCTCGGTCCCTGTCCACCAGAGCTGACATGTACTGGTTGTAGCACTCGAAGTGCATCTAGCGTCAGTGCAAAGGGTACCTGTCTATGCAGGCAGCTAGGCAGCTCACCTTCATATGGCAAATCTTCTCGGTCCCTGTCCACTAGGGCGGCCATGTACTGGTTGTAGCACTCGAAATGCATCTGGCGTCACTGCAAAGAGCCCTTGTGTTACCTTTTAACTAGCTAGTCAGCTCACCTTCATATGGCCGATCCGCTCGGTCCCTGTCCACCAGGGCTGACGTGTACTGGTTGTAGCACCATATTGAACACTCGATGCAGGCTGTAGCAGCTCACCTTCATATGGTCGATCCGCTCGGTCCCTGTCCACCAGAGCTGACATGTACTGGTTGTAGCACCATATTGAACACTCGATGCAGGCTGTAGCAGCTCACCTTCATATGGTCGATCCGCTCGGTCCCTGTCCACCAGAGCTGGCATGTACTGGTTGTAGCACTCGAAATGCATCTAGCATCAGTGCAAAGAGCCATTGCCTTCTTGCCTTATAGCTTGCTAGGCAGCTCACCTTCGTACGGCCGATCAGCACGATTCCTGTCCACCAGAGCTGACATGTACTGGTTGTAGCACTCGAAATGCATCTGGTTGGGCAGAAGGAAGGGAGAGAGGCAGACAGGCAGGCAGGTGCCATCACACACAGAGAGACGGTTCAGGTACAGAAATCCACCATCCAATAAAGCATAGGCCCCTATCCACTAGAGCTGACAGGTACTGGTAACACTCAAAATGAATCTGGCGACTTTTGAGACGTCTCAAAAGTCGTTTGGTACTGGAAACACTCAAAATGAATCTGGCGGCAGTGGCAGAGAGAGGGGCAGGCAGACAGGCAGGGCCATCGACCACAGAGAAGCGGTCAGAAGCCGTCAAAAACTTCTCCCAAACTGCAAAACCCCAAACTCTAAGAAAGCAGTGAGAGCTGCTGCAGAGATGGAATCAAAGAGGAATTCCAGTGTGGCCGGGCCACAGAAACAGTAGTCAAGTCGAGCATGTGTGATATTCAATCAGCATGTCTTCGAAGACTTGCGTATCCAGTGCCCCCTCCACCTGCACCCCCACCGTCCACTCCACTCCCCCTGCTGCTGAATCGCTCACATTCCCTGCAGCTTGCGCTGTGGTACTCACACTACCTGCTCTATTGGTGCGACTTTCGCACTACCACTGATACTACTCGCACTACCTGCTCAAAAGTCGCACCACATTCCCTGCAGCTTGCGCTGTGGTACTCACACTACCTGCTCTATTGCTAGCAGAGCCTCACCTGAACGCAACAGAGGCCCGCCTGATGACAGCAGAGACCCACCAGAATGCAACAGAAGCCCGCCTGATGACAACAGAGACCCACCTGAATGCAACAGAAGCCCGCCTGATGACAACAGAGACCCACCTGAATGCAACAGAAGCCCGCCTGATGACAACAAAGACCCACCTGAATGCAACAGAGCCGCCTGATGACAACAGAGACCCATCTGAATGCAACAGAGGCCCGCCTGATGACAACAGAGAACCACCTGAATGCAACAGAGGCCCACCTGGTGGCCGCAGCATCGGATGTGAGATGTGACCTGCGTGTCCAGAGATCCCTCCACCTGCACCCCCACTGTCCACTCCACTCCCCCTGCTGCTCTATCCGCACTATTGCTCGCATTCCCTGCATCTTCTTCCCTGGTACTCGCGTTTCCAGCTGTAGGTTGCACTGTGGTATGCCCCTGCTGTGCTGCTGCTGCTTCTGCTGCTGCTTCTGCTGCTGCATTCTTGTTCAGCCCCGAACTCGATTCTGCTGCCTCAGAAGCAGCACCAGGCCTTTCCTGTTCTTGTCTCGGCTCGAAAACAGCAGCAGCAGCAGGAGCACCAGCAGGAGGAGAAAGGGTAGGAGCAGCAGCGGCAGCTGCGGCAGTTGCGGCAGCAGTAGCAGCAGCTGGGGTGATAGGCTGAGCGCGGAAGTGCATTATTGTGGGGAGCTTGTACGGCTGAGCGAGAGCCACCCACCCAATGGGGGCTGTTGGTGTGGGTCGACACTGGGGTTTGGGGTTTAGGAATGGAAGGGGAAGGGAGGAATGGAATGTGGGGGAATAAAACAGGGTGTTGGTAGCTTGAATGGCTGGGCTAAAGCCATGCACCCGATGGGGGCTGTTCTGTTGGTGTGGGGCAACACTGGGGATGGACAATGGAAGTGGAGGAAAACATGAATGGGATGGGAAACACGCGAGGCAGTCTCAGCAGCAGCAGCAGCAGCAGCAGCAGCAGCAGCAGTGGGGGAGATAGGCTGGCTGAGCACGAGAGGAGATGTGGCAAAAATGCAATCCTATCCCAGGGTATGGCTTTGAGTCGACTCAAAAGACATCTAAAAAATCGTGTACTAGCAGCCGAGATTTACGATGAACAGCTTTAAAATCAGGAATTCTCATAATGTGCCGCATCACAGCACCTTCTCACCTCTGCATCACAGCACCTGCTCACATCACATTCTCACTGGCTCAAAGGATGTGAGAGCAGCAACGACTTTGCTTTCCTCAAACTACCGCTGGTGCTGCCGCTTCACACCACAGCGCACTCCTTCTCACCTTGGCATGGCAGAAACCACACAGGACTGGCTTAAACGTCGTGAAAGCAGCAAGACACCCCCGTGCTACACTGCTGCTACCCTTGCTTTCCTCAAACCACTTGTCAGTGCTGGTGGCACGGTACTGCTGCCAGCCACTACAAGGTGATTTTTGAGTCAACTCAAAAGACACCCCCGTGCTACACTGCTGCTACCAACCACTTCTCAGTGCCGGTTGCACGGTGCTGCAGCTGCTGCCACTACACATTACATCCTCAGCTCGCGTTCTCACCTCGGCATGGCAGAAACCGCACAGGTCGGGCTCAAAGGAAGTGAAAGCAGCAACTATTTTTGCCTTCCTCAAATCAACCGCTTCACACCACAGTGCACTCCTTCTCACCTCGGCATGGCAGAAACCACACAGATCTGGATCAAAGGAAGTGAAAGCAGCAAGGGACCCCGGTGCTACCCTTGCCTTCCTCACACCACCACCCGCTGCCGCTGCTGCTGCTGCTGCTCCTCCTCCTGGTGCTGCTGATACACCCGCACCCTCCCCTCTCCCTCCCTCTACCAGCTTGCCTTTTCCTTTCCCTATCCCACCCACACCTCCTGCACCCTGCACACCAGTTTTTCCGCCCTCACTTCCTTCTGGCCCCCCATCCACCTCCATATCCTCCCCATCTGCTTGGCCCCCCTCATTGCCCCCCCCTGCCTGCCCTCTCTTCCTGCTCCGTGAAGCTTCCCTCCCTGCACCACCCATTCCGTCCCATTCCAATCCCCCCCGCCCTACGTCCCCTTGCTGCTCACCCATTTGATTACCATCTCCACCCCTGCCACTACCATCTGCACCCGCAGCACCCCTTGCCCAGGCCCCATCAATATCCATGCCCTCCATTGCTCCTGCTGCTGGTGCTGGCTCTACTGCTATGTTGCTGCCCGTTGCCCTGCCACTTTCCCCTGATCCTGCTGCACCTGCTGCTGCTCCATCTGATCCTGCTGCACCCTTCGTCTCTCTCGTCCTCCCCTCCTCCATCTCATCATCTTCCTCATCGTCTGCTGCCGCCAGCATTTTAGCAAAGGCGCTCTGTCTGCACATGCACGTGTGGGTTTTGAATTGAAATGTTGTTGTCATTTATGTGCGCATCTTGTAGTGGTTACTCTAGCATGAATTTCATGCTACTGAGAACATGAATTCAGAATTTCTCAATGCCAACAGAGGAAAAGAAAGAAAGAAAGAAAGAAAGAAAGAAAGAAAGAAAGAAAGAAAGAAAGAAAGAAAGAAAGAAAGAAAGAAAGGAGCAAGGAAAGAACGAGAGAAAAGAAAAAAGGAAAGGAAAGAAAACAAAGGAGAAGTTCAAATCACCTCCTGGAGCAGTCCACACCACATTCCAATGTGCATTACTCCACAACCCACAACTCACTTAGCAGCGAATTGAGCCATGATAGCAGCCTGCCGCTGCCTCTTCTGCTGCCGCTTCGCCTCATCTGACCCCATCCCTCCCCCAGCCGCCCTCGCCACGCCCCCTGCTACTGTTGCTCCTGCTGCTGTGCTTGCTGTTGCTCCTACTCGTGCCGTGCCTGCTGCAGTTTCTCCTGCTTCTGCTGTAGCAGACCCAGGTTGCTCTGCCTTGGACTGAAAACGAGGGAGATGGAAGGAGAGAGGGGGGTGGGGGAGGGTGGGGAGTGTGAAGAGTGTGTGAACCGACAGCAAAGAGGGAGAGGAAGCAAGAGGTATGAAAAGGGCGAGGAGAGAAGCAGTTGTGTAACAAAGTACAGTCGATACACTTTTTTGCCTCTTATGTCACACCTCCAATCCCCAGCATCCCCATCTGCAACTAAATACCATCAGTCAGTCCTATCAATCAATCAAAACAAAGAACAAAAACAAGCAATCTCACTCACCTCCCCCAGTGCTTCGTGTGGTCGCAGGTTGAGTCTGGTCATAAGCAACGAGATCACATGCTCTATGGAATCCTTAAGGCCTGGCGGTGAGAAGAGATTGAGACAAAGAGGCAGGAAGAGAGGAAAGGATGGTAAACGAAACGGAGTCACGAAGACACGAGGTTGAGTCTGGCCATGAGCAATGAGATCACATGCTCTATGGCGTCTTTGAGGCCTGCCGGTGAGAAGAGAGCGAGAAAGGCAGTCGAAAAGGAAGAGGGAAGGAGAAGAGGGCGTGGTAGAGCGAATGGAGTCAGGAGGACACCAGGTCGAGTCTGGCCATGAGCAGCGAGATCACATGCTCTATGGCGTCCTTGAGACCTGGCGGTGAGAACAAGGGAAGAGAGGGAGGCAGCAGGAAAAAGAGGGCGAAGAAGGCATGGGATGACTAGGGACCAGGCTGACTGTAATCTATGGCGCCTTTCAGTCTATGGGCAAAGGGCAGGGAGGAGTGGCTAAGAGGGAGTGACTTTTGTGAATTCTCAAAAGTAACACCAATATTCAAGGCTGACTGTTATCTATGGTGCCTTTCAGTCTATGGGCAAAGGGAAGTTCATGGACCACGACACGGTGAGTTGACTGCTACTATGCTACTTGGTGTGCTACCACCTGTTCATGGACCATGCCATGATGAGTTGACTGCTACTATGCTACCTGGTGTGCTACCACCTGTTCATGGACCACGCCACAGTGAGTTGACTGCTACTATGCTACTTGGTGTGCTACCACCTGTTCATGGACCACGCCACAGTGAGTTGACTGCTACTATGGTACCTGGTGTGCTACCACCTGTTCATGGACCACGCCATAGTGAGTTTATAAACAGGTGGTAGCACACTAGGTAGCACAGAAGCAATCAACTCACCGTGGCGTGGTCCAGACTCACACACACAAAAATGAACAAAACAAAAAGTAATGAATTAAGCTGGGAGGAAAAGGCGAAGCAGAAAATTTATGAATGAATAAGGAATGTGGCCAACATGCATCGATCCACATACCCACCAACCACCAACCATACTCACGATGGTTATCCGTGTTCTGCAGTATGCTTTTAAGGGAGATAAACACGTTCGGAAGCGAGTCAAAGGTCGAGATCCGCCCCTTGCCCTTGCCACCTGCCCTGGCACCTGCTGCTCCCCGTGCGTCCCCACCAAAGGGTAGGCACGATATGACTGCTGCTGCTGCTGCATCGTCACTCTCTGCAGCAGATGGTGCTGTGGACAACAAAGGAGAGGGAAGGCATGATAGAACTGCTGCTGCTACATCGTCCTCTGCTGCTGCTGTTGCTGTTGCGGCAGAAGGAGCCCCTAAGTCAAAGTCATCATCACCAGTACCAGCATCAGCAGCAGGAGCATCGTCAACACCAGCAGCAGCAGCGGCACCAGAAGCAGCAGAAGAAGGAGGAGGAGGGGGAGCAGGAGAAGCAGCAACTGAAGAAGCAGCAGCAGCAGCAGCAGCAGCGTCATCAAGGCTTCTTGCAATGTCTAAGGAGTGGTGGGAGGGAGAGGAGCGGCGCGAGGGGGAGGAGGAGCGGAAGAGGTCGAGAGAGGAGCGTGAGGGGGACTGCGAGCGTAACTTGTTGAAGTTCCTGGAAATTCCCTCCAGCCAACGAGGCGAGCAGCTCATACAGGCAACATCATCGTCTGGAGAGGGGAGGGTGGAAGAGCGAAGGGTGGGAGGGGGGGAGGTAAGAGAGGGGTCTGCATTTGAGGCGCCTGAAAAACAGACCCCGGAATGTTTCTTCCAGCCTGAGAGGAGAGCAGCGCACACAGGCGACATCACCACCACCATGAGGGTTCTGGAAAAAAATCACCAATAGCTGGGTCATGATCCGCCTTGCCTTCATCATCATCAGCAGCAGCAGCAGCGGCAGAGGAACGAAATCTGACTGACTGCAGTCGCTCCGAGTCCCACTCACTCTCCCCACCGCCCCCACTCCCACCAAAAGCTGTTTGAGAGTTCTCCCCGTTGCACGAGATGCTGGAGAGAGAAGCACCATAGCTCCTTCTAACCTTTCACTCATCCTCACCTTCATCATCAGCAGCAGCGGCAGAGGAACGAGATCTGACAGACTGCAACCGCTCTGAATCCCACTCGCTCTCTCCACCGCCCCCACTCCCACCACTGCCACCGCTACCACTGCTCCCACTGCTGCCAGGTTTCTTGGTCGAATATAAGCCGGGGGGATACACGGGAGGCCGGGAAGGGGAGGAGGAGACTGGTGCGCCCAGCACCATAGCTTCCTTCCACAGCCAGCTTGGGATGGACCTGGAAGGGGGATGAGGGGCAACGAGATACACGGAGAGAGGGAGGAGAGGAGGGATTGAGCAGGGATGGACGAAGGGGAGGAGACTGGCGAGCATAGCATCATAGCTTCCTTCCACAGCCAGCTTGGGTTGGACGGACCTGGATGTAAAACGAAGTGCAAGGGGAAGCAGAGAATTAGTGAGGGAAAAGACTGACCAAGCATGGAAGCAGAGAGAGGAGGCGAAAAAGGGGAGACAAGAGAGGAGATGGGAAAAGGGCAACTGGGATTGGGGCAGCAAGAGGGAGCCAGGAGCAATGTGATAGGTGAAGGCTGTTGGTGCTAAATTCACCAAGGGAGTTGCACACCGGCATACCCCACCCCACCCCACCCCACCCCACCCACCTGGCATCAGTAGCAGCGACAGTCACGAGCTGCGTGGCAAGGAGAGCGATGTTTTCTGCTTGTGTGCTGTGGGATGGGTTGCGGGAGGCGAGCAGGTGGGCTCACCTCTCTAGCACGGGAGGACAGCAGGACAGCAGGGCACCCACCCACCTGGCATCAGTAGCAGCCAGTGTAACGAGCTGCGTGGCGAGGAGAGCGATGTTTTCTGCTTGTGTGCTGTGGGATGGGTTTCGGGAGGCGAGCAGGTGGGCAGCGCACGCGACAGCGCAGCGCACCACAATGTGGCATGGCTGTGATGAGATGGGGAGGGGGGAGGGGAGAGGAGAGGAGGGAATAAGGTGGAGCCATGCTACTCAGGGAGGCTTTGGGGGGGCCGAGCAGGTGGGCAGCGCATGCGACAGCACAGCGCACCACAATGTGGCATGGCTGCGAGCAAGCATGGGGGGGAACATGGGGGGAAGGGGAGGACAGCGAGTACGATACTAGCTGTTTGTTCTTTTGCTTTAAGCCTAGCTTTGCTACCGCTGCTCCCTGAGAATTATGTCTGAAGATCGCACGACTGCGAGCAAGCATGGGGGGAGACATGGGGGGAAGGGGAGGAGAAGGAATAAGGGGTGCAAGGAATGTGAGTGGAGCCCTGCCTCTCAGCCTGCGGGGGAGGGGAGGCGAGTAGGTGGGCAGGCAGCGCACATGCAACAGTGCAGCGCACCACAATGTGGCATGGCTGCGAGCACGGGATGAATGACGAGAGGAGGGAAGTGGAAGGGTTGAGAGGGGGGAACAAGGGTGCAAGGCATGGGATTGGAGCCATACCACTCAGCCTGGGTACAAGGAGAGGAGAGAAGGCGAGCAGGTGCCATGTGCCATGTGCCATGTGTCCTGGGCCATGTGCCATGTGTCCTAGGCCATGTGCCATGTGTCCTAGGCCATGTGCCATGTGCCATTCAACATACGGAACGAATAAAAGCAGCAGGAAAGAAAGCTCACCTCGGTGTGAGCCATGTCTGGCAGCCTATCAAACGGCGCCATGTGTCGCTGCGGGCACTTCACCTGCCAGAAGCGCACCTTGGGCGCCAGCCTCTCTGCTCGCTCCTGCACTCCCATGGAGGGAGGGGAGTGAGGGGTGGAAAGGGGGGACGGGTTGGGGTAAGCGTGTGGGGAAGGGGGAAGGGGGAAAGGGCGCGTGGAAAGAGTGTGGGGAAGGTGGTGGGGGGCGCTTCACTTGCCAGAAGCGCACCTTGGAAGCTAGCCTCTCTGCTCGCCCCGGCACTCCCATGAAGGTGGAGGTTGGGCGGGGGTGGGTGGGGGAGGGAGGTGGGAAGGGGGTTGGGAGGAAGGTGGGGAAGGGACTCGGGAGGGGTTGGGGAGGGGATTGGGGAGGGGGGTGGAGAGCGAGGTGGGGAAGGGGATGGGGAGAGGGGTAGGAGAAGGGGGAGCGGGTGGAGGGTGTGGAGATGAGGAGGAAAAGTGGGGGGCGATCTGGTGAGTGAGCCTGATATGCCAAGTACTGCTGACCGTGAACTCAAACTCCCCCTTACCCCCTTCTTTCGCCCCCCACACCCACACTCACCCACCGTCCGCACTCACCTGCGCTTCTTCTAGCTCTGAAAGCGAGTAGTGGGGAAAGAGCGGGTCAAACTCTCCCCAGCAGGCGGGCTTCAGCCATTGAGGGGGACCATGCACTCATACTTCCACCTTGCCAGCCACACACTCACCTGCGCCTCCTCTAGCTCTGAGAGTGAGTAGTGGGGGAAGAGTGGGTCAAACTCGCCCCAGCAGGTTGGTTTCAGCCTTTAGGGAAGATGCACATGGCCTTCTGTCATCCCTTTCTAACCATCAAGTTGAGAGACCCTTCCCCTCACACCATCTCACCTGAGCCTCCTCTAGCTCAGAGAGTGAGTAGTGGGGGAAGAGCGGGTCAAACTCTTCCCAGCAGGCAGGTTTCAGCTGGAAGTACCCGCGCTGCTGCAGGCGCCGCGGCACATGATGCTCTGCCACGTCCTGCAACACTGCGCTCAGCTGGGGGAGGCTTGCGAGGGAAGAACCGAGTTGCTGGGAGAGCTGTGAGTGGGCCAGAGCACAGGGTACAAGGGGAGAACGGAGGGAGGAAGAGAGTGGGACGGCTGCGGCACATGGTGCTCTGCCACCTCTTGCAGCACTGCGCTCAGCTGGGGGAGACTGGCCAGGGAGGAACCCAGCTGCTGGGAGATCTGCATAGAAAGCAGGGCACAGGGCGCATGGGGAGGAAGGTGGGTTTCAGCTGGAAGTACCCGCGCTGCTGCAGGCTTTGCGGGACATGGTGCTCTGCCACCTCTTGCAACACTGCGCTCAGCTGGGGGAGGCTGGCGAGGGAGGACCCTAGCTGCTGGGAGAGCTGCAAAGCGAGGGGTGGAACGGAAGGAAGGAGAGGATAAGGAGATACGGAGAGAAAGGGCCGCCTGGGGCCTTCAGCTGGGAGGAAGTAACCGTGCTGCTGCAGGCGCCGTGGCACGTGATTCTCTGCCACGTCCTGAAGAATCGCGCTCAGCTGGGGAAGGCTTGCGAGGGAGGATCCCAGCTGCTGGGAGAACTGGAGAGGGGAGGTGGGCACAGGGCGCGGCAGGCACAAGGAGAGGTAGGAGAGAGTGAGCCACCGCGGCACATGGTGCTCTGCCACGTCCTGCTGGACCGCGCTCAGCTGAGGAAGGCTTGCCAGGGAGGATCCCAGCTGCTGGGAGAGCTGTGGACGGGAAGTAGGCACAGGGCACAAGGGGAGAACGGAGGGAGGACGGAGAGAGTGGGACCGCCTGGGCACATCATGCTCTGCCAAGCAATGCTGCATTGGCAGTTACGAACTGGTACGCTCGCTTAAGGCTGTGCACGGCAAAACCAGCAAAGAAAACAGTGGTAAAGGCAAGCCAGCTTTGGAGCCCAGGATTGGCATAAGAAAATTCGGATCATGAAGGATGTTACCAGAGTGTGTAAGGTGTACGTGCTGTTAACTCGCTATGTGTAAGGTGTACGTGCTGTTAACCCGCTATGTGTAAGGTGTACGTGCTGTTAACCCGCTATGTGTAAGGTGTACGTGCTGTTAACCCGCTATGTGTAAGGTGTACGTGCTGTTAACCCGCTATGTGTAAGGTGTACGTGCTGTTAACACGCTATGTGTAAGGTGTACGTGCTGTTAACACGCTATGTGTAAGGTGTACGTGCTGTTAACACGCTATGTGTAAGGTGTACGTGCTGTTAACCCGCTATGTGTAAGGTGTACGTGCTGTTAACACGCTATGTGTAAGGTGTACGTGCTGTTAACACGCTATGTGTAAGGTGTACGTGCTGTTAACCCGCTATGTGTAAGGTGTACGTGCTGTTAACACGCTATGTGTAAGGTGTACGTGCTGTTAACACGCTATGTGTAAGGTGTACGTGCTGTTAACCCGCTATGTGTAAGGTGTACGTGCTGTTAACACGCTATGTGTAAGGTGTACGTGCTGTTAACACGCTATGTGTAAGGTGTACGTGCTGTTAACACGCTATGTGTAAGGTGTACGTGCTGTTAACCCGCTATGTGTAAGGTGTACGTGCTGTTAACCCGCTATGTGTAAGGTGTACGTGCTGTTAACCCGCTATGTGTAAGGTGTACGTGCTGTTAACCCGCTATGTGTAAGGTGTACGTGCTGTTAACCCGCTATGTGTAAGGTGTACGTGCTGTTAACCCGCTATGTGTAAGGCGTACGTGCTGTTCACATGCTATGTGTAAGGTGTACGTGCTGTTAACCCGCTATGTGTAAGGTGTACGTGCTGTTAACCCGCTATGTGTAAGGTGTACGTGCTGTTAACCCGCTATGTGTAAGGTGTACGTGCTGTTAACCCGCTATGTGTAAGGTGTACGTGCTGTTAACTCGCTATGTGTAAGGTGTACGTGCTGTTAACCCGCTATGTGTAAGGTGTACGTGCTGTTCACATGCTATGTGTAAGGTGTCCGTGCTGTTAACCCGCTATGTGTAAGGTGTACGTGCTGTTAACCCGCTATGTGTAAGGTGTACGTGCTGTCAACCCGCTATGTGTAAGGTGTACGTGCTGTTAACCCGCTATGTGTAAGGTGTACGTGCTGTTAACCCGCTATGTGTAAGGTGTACGTGCTGTTAACCCGCTATGTGTAAGGTGTACGTGCTGTTAACCCGCTATGTGTAAGGTGTACGTGCTGTTAACCCGCTATGTGTAAGGTGTATGTGCTGTTAACCCGCTATGTGTAAGGTGTACGTGCTGTTAACACGCTATGTGTAAGGTGTACGTGCTGTTAACCCGCTATGTGTAAGGTGTACGTGCTGTTCACATGCTATGTGTAAGGTGTCCATGCTGTTAACCCGCTATGTGTAAGGTGTACGTGCTGTTAACACGCTATGTGTAAGGTGTACGTGCTGTTAACCCGCTATGTGTAAGGTGTACGTGCTGTTAACACGCTATGTGTAAGGTGTACGTGCTGTTAACACGCTATGTGTAAGGTGTACGTGCTGTTAACCCGCTATGTGTAAGGTGTACGTGCTGTTAACCCGCTATGTGTAAGGTGTACGTGCTGTTAACCCGCTATGTGTAAGGTGTACGTGCTGTTAACACGCTATGTGTAAGGTGTACGTGCTGTTAACCCGCTATGTGTAAGGTGTACGTGCTGTTAACACGCTATGTGTAAGGTGTACGTGCTGTTAACCCGCTATGTGTAAGGTGTACGTGCTGTTAACCCGCTATGTGTAAGGTGTACGTGCTGTTAACCCGCTATGTGTAAGGTGTACGTGCTGTTAACCCGCTATGTGTAAGGTGTACGTGCTGTTAACCCGCTATGTGTAAGGTGTACGTGCTGTTAACACGCTATGTGTAAGGTGTACGTGCTGTTAACCCGCTATGTGTAAGGTGTACGTGCTGTTCACATGCTATGTGTAAGGTGTCCGTGCTGTTAACCCGCTATGTGTAAGGTGTACGTGCTGTTCACATGCTATGTGTAAGGTGTACGTGCTGTTAACCCGCTATGTGTAAGGTGTACGTGCTGTTAACCCGCTATGTGTAAGGTGTACGTGCTGTTAACCCGCTATGTGTAAGGTGTACGTGCTGTTAACCCGCTATGTGTAAGGTGTACGTGCTGTTAACCCGCTATGTGTAAGGTGTACGTGCTGTTAACTCGCTATGTGTAAGGTGTACGTGCTGTTAACCCGCTATGTGTAAGGTGTACGTGCTGTTCACATGCTATGTGTAAGGTGTCCGTGCTGTTAACCCGCTATGTGTAAGGTGTACGTGCTGTTAACCCGCTATGTGTAAGGTGTACGTGCTGTCAACCCGCTATGTGTAAGGTGTACGTGCTGTTAACCCGCTATGTGTAAGGTGTACGTGCTGTTAACCCGCTATGTGTAAGGTGTACGTGCTGTTAACCCGCTATGTGTAAGGTGTACGTGCTGTTAACCCGCTATGTGTAAGGTGTACGTGCTGTTAACCCGCTATGTGTAAGGTGTACGTGCTGTTAACCCGCTATGTGTAAGGTGTACGTGCTGTTAACACGCTATGTGTAAGGTGTACGTGCTGTTAACCCGCTATGTGTAAGGTGTACGTGCTGTTCACATGCTATGTGTAAGGTGTCCGTGCTGTTAACCCGCTATGTGTAAGGTGTACGTGCTGTTAACACGCTATGTGTAAGGTGTACGTGCTGTTAACCCGCTATGTGTAAGGTGTACGTGCTGTTAACACGCTATGTGTAAGGTGTACGTGCTGTTAACACGCTATGTGTAAGGTGTACGTGCTGTTAACCCGCTATGTGTAAGGTGTACGTGCTGTTAACCCGCTATGTGTAAGGTGTACGTGCTGTTAACCCGCTATGTGTAAGGTGTACGTGCTGTTAACACGCTATGTGTAAGGTGTACGTGCTGTTAACCCGCTATGTGTAAGGTGTACGTGCTGTTAACACGCTATGTGTAAGGTGTACGTGCTGTTAACACGCTATGTGTAAGGTGTACGTGCTGTTCACACGCTATGTGTAAGGTGTGAGCCGCAAATGGACGTACATCGCTGTGAGTGCGGTCGCGCACTGCCAGCCACTGAATGACATGGTATCGCAGCACATAGTCCTGTAATTGGGCGAGGAGAGACGGTGAAACAAGGAAAGCGGGTGAGACAAATAAGAGAAGAGACTCTTAAGGCTTGTCAACTGTCCAGCGCACTGCAGGCCACTGGATGACATAGTAGCGCAACGCAACACATACTCCTGCAATTGGGACAAGAGAGAGTGGAAAGAACAAGTGGGGAGAGAGTGAGTGAAAGCACAGCGCACTGCTAGCCACTGAATGACATGGTACCGAAGCACATAGTCCTGAGTTTGGGACAAGAGAGAGGGTGAGATGGGATGCATGAGAGGGAGAGTGCTTTAGTATGTATGCTGTAAGAACCCTGCAAGCAACATGCTGCAAATCACTGTCACTGCATCACGTAGGTGGGCATGGCTGTATTGCAATGCACTCATGATCATATCATTCATGCATATGAGTGTACAGAGCAGCAACTGCCAAATGCGCAACCAGTGGAGAGGAGTACATTTGCCTTGAAACATCTCGAAACAGTTATATTTAATTGCTACAAGTTTATATTAAATTAAAGTGGTTCCATCCCAATCCACCTGCCTGTCACACTCACCTCTGAGAATCCCGTGTGCTTGGGGTCTCGAAGGATCTGCACAAGTGCGACGTAAAAAACAGGACAAACCAGGCGTGTCAATGTGACGCTTGCACAGCGCTCAACTCAAGCATAACGCGAGTGTTGTGGGTGGAAGCGAATTAGGAGTGCATAGAACCATAGAAAACTCACAAAGGAAGTGAGGGGAACGGAGAGCACAACTAAGCACTACATGCTCATTAAGCAACGGACTACACTGCACTGCACCGCTCAGCACCGCTCACCAGCAGGACAAGCTTGAGCAGATCAGCCAATCGGCTGAGCTCTGCTGCTGTCCAGTCAGCACTGGGGGCAGGTGACGAAGCTGATGACATGGCAGAGGCGCATTGAATGGTTTTGCTGAAGGTGTCGTGAAGCTGAGAAGGAATCAAGGGGACAGAGGTGGAAAGGAGGGAGGAGGAGAGAAGCAGAAGACAGGACAGTGAGTGAACTCTGAGGCTCGCGCCTACAAGGTGACTCATAGAGGACCGCTCGTCGTAGGCACGCCATGCAAGTGAATTCTGAGACTCGTAGAGGTCTTCTCGTAGAGGTCTTCTCGTAGAGGTCTTCTCGTAGAGGTCTTCTCATAGAGGTCTTCTCGTAGAGGTCTCCTCGTAGAGGTCTGCGCAATTGTATTCATGAGTCACTGCTGCCCGTCAAGTCTGTGGAACGAGTGAGGCTCGCGCTTGCGCTTGCGCTTGTGTTGCTGGTAAACTCCACTCCACACATACCAACACAAGCAGGTCGAGGTCCACAACAGCAGGAGGAGGCTAACTAGCGGGGCAGGTGAGCCGAGGCTTGAACCATGCAGCACACACAATACAACTCACACTGAAGTGCTTGACAGCGGAGGCGAGGAGAGCAGCAGGGGAGTCGGAGGAGAAGAGGGAGACGAGCTGCAGCAGCAGCAGGTCGAGGTCCATGGCAGCGGGCCAGTAGCCCCCCCGATACACCCTCTCCAGCTTGCTTAGGTCCTCGCCCTGGTAGTGCCACTCGCGCGCTCGAATCTACAAGGCCAGTGGGTGGCGAACGGGGTTGGTGGGGGTGGGAGGGAAGCAGGATGAAGGGGCGGAGCAGATAGAGCTGTCAGGAGGGCAGCAGGGGAGGGGAATTTATTGAGAAAAGAGCAAGGAGGTGCAGCAGCAGCAGGTCGAGATCCATGGCAGCTGGCCAGTAGCCCCCCCGATACACCCTCTCCAGCTTGCTTAATTCCTCGCCCTGGTAGTGCCACTCGCGCGCTCGAATCTACAAGGCTAGTGGGTGGCGAACGGGGTTGGTGGGGGTGGGAGGGAAACAGGATGAAGGCGCGGAACAGATAGAGCCGTCAGGAGGGCAACAGGGGAGGGATTTTATTGAGAAAAGAGCAAGGAGGTGCAGCAGCAGCAGGTCGAGATCCATGGCAGCCGGCCAGTAGCCCCCCCGATACACCCTCTCCAGCTTGCTTCAGTCCTCGCCCTGGTAGTGCCACTCGCGCGCTCGAATCTACAAGGCCAGTGGGTGGCGAACGGAGTTGGTGGGGGTGGGAGGGAAGCAGGATGAAGGGGCGGAGCAGATAGAGCTGTCAGGAGGGCAGCAGGGGAGGGGATCGATTGAGAAAAGAGCAAAGAGGGAGCAAGGAGGTGTAGCTGCAGCAGCAGCAGGTCGATTTTTGAGGCGCCTCAGCAAGGAGGTGCAGCTGCAGCAGCAGCAGGTCGAGGTCCATGGCAGCGGGCCAGTAGCCCCCCCGGTACACCCTCTCCAGCTTGCTCAGGTCCTCGCCCTGGTAGTGCCACTCGCGCACCCGAATCTGGTAGTTGAGGTGGCACACGAGTTGGTGGACATCAGTTCCAAACATCAACATCGCTCCATAATTTGTTACATAATAGATATTTCCAAGGAGAGGAGCGAGGAGAGGAGTGAGGGGAGGGACTGAAGAGGAACACAAAACCAGATAGCAAGGGAGGACTGACCTGGGCCATCCAGGCGAAGAGGCGAAGTGGGTGCTCTGCCATTGCCAGAACCTGACAAGGAAGAAGGGGCGAGGAGAGGGGGGGCAGCGGATGTGGAGCAGCTTGATTAATTGGCCATTGATGATTCTCAAGATTTGACCCGAGCCATCCAAGCAAAGTAACGAGCTGGATGCTTCGCCATAGCCAGCACCTGAGAAGGAAGGAGAGGTGATGCATTGGGAGGGAAAGTGAGAGCGAGAGAGAACCATCCATCAGATCAGACTCACGAAGCTGACTCGCCTGGCAACAATATTGAGGGCACAAAGCTGATATTGTGCACCTTTGTAGTGTGCACCCTCATTTCTGCACACTCACCTACATGCGCATGTTGAGGGGCAAAAGCTGCCGCAAGTGAGCCACTGATGCTGCTGGCCCTGAGAAGGCACACTTTCGCGCAATTCTATAAATCCACCCATCTTCATCCATTTGCATAGCTTGCTCTCCCCACCCCACCCACCCTCACCTCTCTGCGCATATTGAGGGGTAGAAGCCGCCGCAAGTGAGCCACTGATGCTGCTGGCCCTGACCCGCCACTCGCATCACCCCCATCACCACTGCCACCGGCACCACCACCAGCACCACCACCAGCACCAGCACCAGCGCCAACGCCAACGCCAGTACCAGCAGCAGGACCACCAGCAGTGGCCGGCACAGTGTGAGCAGCGATGTGTATGATGGAGGCGAAGAAGAGGGAGAGAATGCGGTGCAGAGGGAGGTGCAGCGACATGGCCACTGTTTTGCTCCCCGTGTCCTCCGCCTTGATCTGATTCTGAACAGACAAAGGGAGGAGAGAGGTGAGAGCGCAAGGGATTTGAGACATTCAATCAGCCATCGTTGCATTGACTCCCCTTGACCAGCATCGACTCCCCTTGGTCGGCATTGACTCCCCTTGACCAGCATCGACTCCCCTTGGTCGGCATTGACTCCCCTTGACCAGCATCGACTCCCCTTGGTCGGCATTGACTCCCCTTGACCAGCATCGACTCCCCTTGGTCGGCATTGACTCCCCTTGACCAGCATTGACTCCCCTTGGTCGGCATTGACTCCCCTTGACCAGCATTGACTCCCCTTGACAAGCACTGACTCACCTTGAGCAGCCATGCCTGCAGTGCAATCCGGGCTCCATTCAGCAGAGCATGCTCTGCATCCACCCCACCCTCTCCTGCTGCCCTTTCTCCCCCAATGCAGCCGGCCACCCGTCCCCCCCACCGTGCGTCCCTTCCTAGCAACTCTTGTATCGACTCAAAGACTCACCTTTACCAGCATTGCCTTGACTTGATCAGCCATGCAAGCAGGGCCTGTAGTGCCATCCGTGCCCCATTCAACAAAGCATGCTCTGCATCCAATCCCCCCTCTCCTACTCTCCCTCCTCATTGCCCCTCCCCTCCCAATCTAGCCACCCCTCCCCATGAATCCCCAGCAACTTTTGAGTCTCGACTCACCTTGGCAATCGTTGACTCACCTTGGCCAGCGTTGACTCACCTTGGCCAGCGTTGACTCACCTTGGCCAGCGTTGACTCACCTTGGCCAGCGTTGACTCACCTTGGCCAGCGTTGACTCACCTTGACCAGCCATGCAAGCAGTGCAATCTGCGCCCCATTCCACAGAGCATGCTCTGCATGCATCTACCCCACCCTCCCCTGCTGCCCCTCCTTGCCCCTCCCCTCCCGAAGCATCTGTCCCTCCTCCAGTGTTCCCAGCAGACTTTTGAGTCTCGACTCACCTTGACCAGCGTTGACTCCCCTTGACCGCCTCTCCTCCAGTGTTCCCAGCAGAATTTTGAGTCTCAACTCACCTTGACCAGCGTTGACTCCCTTTGACTGCCTCTCCTCCAGCGTTCCTGGCAGACTTTTGAGTCTCGACTCACCTTGACCAGCCAAGCCAGCAGGGCCTGCAGTGCGATCCGGGCTCCATTCAGCAAAGCATGCTCTGCATCCACCCCCACCTCTCCTTGCCCCGCGTCTGCCACTCTTCCAGTGTTTCCAGCAGGCGGGGAGAGGATGGTGGTGGGGAGGGTGGAGGGGGAGGAGGTGTAGCGCTCTGTGATGTTGTCAATTAGGCCAATCACCAACATCTGGGGGGAAACGAGAATTCAGGAAGGAGGGCATTTTGGGAAGGAGGGGGAGCAGGGACAGGGGGGTCAGTAAAGGGGGTGGGGGTGTAGCGCTCTGTGATGGTGTCAATTAAGCCAATCACCAACATCTGGGGGGGAGGGGGAGGGGGGGAAAGGGGAGTTTGAGGGGAGCATTTGGTGCGGAGAAAAAGTGGGCTGAAAGAAGGTGACTTTTGAGTCGACTCAAAAGTCATTTGGTGCAGAGAAAAAGTGGGCTGAAAGAATGCTTACGAGACTGTGATGGGGGACCTGTCACCAGCATGTGCGGGTGCGGGCACAAGGGGGAGAGGAGAAGGGGGGTGGGGAGGGGAGGGGAACGGACAATTGGAGAGGGAGGAGGGAAAATGCTCTGTGATGTGATGGCATCCAGTTGACCTGGGTTACTTCTCTTCTCGGGATTCGATTTTTGAGTCGACTCAAAAATTGAACTGGGTTACTTCTCTTCTCGGGATTCTCAAAACTGACACAGGCATGATGACTGGTTACCAGCAACTGGAGTTGTTGCAGCGTAAGGGGAAAAAGGAGGAGAAGAGAATGAAAATCCCACACCCAACCCCATCCCCAATCCCACCACCACCCCCACCCCCAAACCCCACCCCAAAACCCCACCCCCAAACCCCACTCCCAAACCCCACTCCCAAACCCCACCCCCAAACCCCACCACCACCCCCACCGGCAACCCCACCGGCAACCCCCACTCCCAGACCCCACCTCGAGCGTGACAGCCTTGGTCCACCGGGTGCCTTCAGTGGGGTCGCCATACTCAAAGCGCACATACGGGTTCATGCCCTGCTAGGGAGGGGGGGTAGGAGAGACAGGGAGATAGATGTGTATGAGCAGCACATCCCATACGAGTTGAAGGCAGGGCAGCAGTGGCATGAGGAGAGTCCACAACTGGGAGCCTTCAGTGGGGTCCCCACACTCAAAGCACACATACGGGTTCATGCCCTGCTAGGGAGGGGGGGTGGAAAGATGTGTGAGCTCACATCACATGCCCTAAGACAGGCCGTGGCACGAGGAGAGTCCACCGGGTGCCTTCAGTGGGGTCTCCACACTCAAAGCGCACATACGGGTTCATGCCCTGGTGGGGAGGGGTGGGAAAGGGGTGGGGGAAAGATGTGTGAGCTCACATCACATTCGGGTTCATTTCATGCCCTGGTGGGGAGGGGTGGGAAAGGGGTGGGGGAAAGATGTGTGAGCTCACATCACATTCGGGTTCATTTCATGCCCTGGTGGGGAGGGGTGGGAAAGGGGTGGGGCAAAGATGCGCATGAGCATGCCTGCCTGCCTCCATACAGGTTCAAGGCAACACAACTGGTCTTAGAGAAATCAGTGGTGGTGCTGTCTAAATTAGTGGTGGTCGTGTGCAACGGAGAGACCAGAAGGAGTGAGGAAAATTCGACCGTGCAGCAAAAAGGGGGAGATGGGAGGGATTGAACTGCAGAAGGGAAAGCATGAGAAAGGGCTGACCTCATATATATCAGTATACAAACACACACACACACACACACACACACACACACACACACACACACACACACACATATATATATATATATACATAGCAGCATAGAGAATGTGGGAAAGAGCTGACCTGTAGCAACGAGAGTGTGAGCAGCAGGTCAGTTTGACAATCGAGGCGTTGAGTGAGAAGGTAGTTGACGACAGGCGTGTGAGAGAAGATGAGTCGCATGTCGCGCAGAGGGATGACTCATAGAAGCATAGAGAGTGTGGGGAAGAGCTGACCTGTAGCAGTGAGAGCGTGAGCAGCAAGTCAGCGAGACAATCGAGGCGTTGAGTGAGAAGGTAGTTGACGACAGGCGTGTGAGAGAAGATGAGTCGCATGTCATGCAGCGGACGTGAGTATAGTGGATGCAGATTGCTCTGAGTGAGGGTGAGAAGAAGTGGGGGGAATGGGGAGGGTGGAGGGGAAGGAACAAACGAGAAAAGAGATCAGGAGGTAGTTAACGACAGGCGTGTGTGCGAAGATGAGCCGCATGTCATTCAGAGGGCGTGAGTAGAGTGGATGCAGGTTGTTCTGAGTGAGGGGAGGAGATGAGGGAGAGGGAAGGGAGTGGGGAGAAGAGGAACAATAGAATAGAAAGAACAGGAGGTAGTCGATGACAAGCGGATGAGAGCAAGAATAGAGCGGATGCAAATGCTCTAAAAATAGCTGCAACGAAGTGGGTGGCGGCAATTCTCACGCCGGTCAGCAAGGAGTTGAGGGATGTAAGGAAGCGAATTGCTGTGATGCGCATGAATACAGAAGAGCGAATGTGGAAGAACACATGCTTCATTCACATGCGTCACCATCCACTCACATGGGTCACTATTTCCCGTGGCCAGATGATGGGGCTCTCACAATTCAGCACTCCTGTCGGCCTGCCAGCATCATTTGGGGTTGGTTAATGGGCCAGACGAGGAGGCAGGAAATAGAGATAGAGACAACGAGCAAACTCAGGTGAGGCTGTTGATAGAAGTTCACCTTTCTTCCTGCAAGGTCCCATGGAGAAGATACCAATGTTGAATGAAAGGGGTGAATGGTGGCTTAGGTATTGGGAAAGGCAAGAGACGAAGGACGGGAGACAGGAAGACAGAGAGGTGGAAAGGGGATGGTAAATGACAAATGAGCTTCAACACTCGCTTTCCCAGCAGGAGCAACAGCAGCAGCAGCAGGGGAAACAGCTACTCACGACTTGGCGGCTTGCAGGACGCGGCAGAAGACAGAGACGAAGAGGTGGAGGAGATCCCCTGAGAGCACCCAGTGCATGGTGACCTCGGGGATGTTGAACAGCTGCACCATCACTGGCATGGGATGATGGCATGATGGGTGTGGATTTACACAGATGTGATGCATGTAAGGTGAGTGTAGGGGAACTGAAGTCCCCTGAGAGCACCCAGTGCATGGTGACCTCGGGAATGTTGAACAGCTGCACCATCACTGGCATGGGGGGGGTGTGTGTAGGGGAATGAATGGGTGTGAATGAGTTTGAAGGAAGTGAATACAAGAGGTGGAGGAGGTCCCCTTGTTCTAATACCTTCTATACAACATGCATATGCTAGAATAGGTGTAGGGTTGTTGGGTGTACCTTCAACCACTATTTGTGATTGAAGGTTGGTTGGGTTCCCAACAGTTATTGGACCTCCAATAATGTTGTTTCAAACCGACCCAATAATTATCGGAGCTCCATTAATGTTGGTCCAGCCAAAACAACTATTGGGGCCTCCAATAATTGTTGGCCAACCTCATCCATTACCATTTTCTCCACCTATGTATACCTTGGCTCATTTCAGCCTACAATCATTACAGTTCTTCTTTTTCACACCCCTGAGAGCACCCAGTGCAGAAGGTGGGCGAGTAGAGCAGCAGCAGGAAGAGCATTGCCTCCTGTGCCACCACCTCCTTTGGCATGGCAGAGATCGTTTCCAGAAGGCGGCAGGAGGGGTGGGAGGAGATGAGAGGAGGCAGGAGGATACGGGAGGAGGGAGGGGGCAGGAGGCAGGAATCAGCACTCACCTCGATCGAGGGCCTTTTCGATTTTGATGAAGCGGGCAGAGGGGTTGTGATCCGGAAGGACGGAGAGCACGAGGAGTGGGTACTGGCGGATGAGCAGTGCTGAGAATACGTTCTTGAAGGCGGGCGAGTAGAGCAGCAGCAGGAACAGCGTGGCCTCCTGTGTTACCACCTCCTCTGTCATCGCTGCAAGGGTCTCTAGGATGAACTGGACAGCGGAGGGTGTGGAGGGAAAAGGAAGTGGAGGAAGAAAGAGGGAGGCTGCTGCTGTGGCTGCTGCTGCTGCAGCAGCTGCTGTTGCTTCTGTTGGTGCTGCTGGTTCTCCTCCCTCTCCGGCCCCTCCGCCTGCCCCTTCAGTCCCACCTCCAAGTCGAGCATCAGCTTCAAGTCTCCCCTCTCCCGCACTTCCCTCCCCACTCCCACCCAGTATACCCCTCCCTGTCCCTGCGTTTCCCAAGCTCCCAACGCTCCCAGTGCTCCCAATACTCCGAACGCTCCCAGTGTTCCCTGTGTTCCCTGTGCTCCCGAGGACGCCCATTTGGCCCACAGCAGCTAGCACGTTCGGAGGGAGGGGTGCTGCCATGCACGCACACACTATGTCTCTTATGCCTGCTGCATGCGAGATCTGAGGAGGAAGCAGGGGTTGTAGACACGAGGGACGGGGGGTTAAAGGGGATATTGATTCGCTACTACAACCACCTGCTTGCATGCTTCACTGTGCGATGAGACAGAACGGTTCTCACTGCCGTTTCTTTCTTGAAGTGCCTCAAAAGCAGGCTCACCTTGACTGCATGGAAAGAGCATCTCACCTTGTCAAGCCATGCAATGAGCTTGAGTAGGTCCCGTGGGGGTTGCAGAGGGGATTTCACCACCTTTCCCACCTGCAGCACCAGCTGCACGCACCACCACTACTACTGCCTGCCACTGTTGTTGTTTTTCTTGAAGTGCCTCAAAGAGATACTCACCTTGTCGAGCCATGCAATCAGTTTGAGCAGGTCCCGCGGGAGTTGCAGTGGGGACTTCACCACCTTCCCCACCTGCAGCACCAGCTGCGCCACCACTGCTGCCACAGCCGTTTCTTTCTTTGAGATGGCTCGAAAACACACTCACCTTGGCCCCATGGAAAGAGCATCTCACCTTGTCAAGCCAGGCAATCAGTTTGAGCAGGTCCCGGGGGGGTTGCAGTGGGGACTTCACCGCCTTCCCCACCTGCAGCACCAGCTGCGCCACCACTGCTGCCACCGCTGTTTCCGTCACCTGCCCGAGATTCCCGGGCAGCGGCTTGGGTGTGTCTGCTGAGTGCTCCTGATGGCGGTGGCGCTTGCACGCACTGGACGGGAAATTAATGATGGCGGAAATGAATAACAGGAAGTAGTTTAAAGTGAAGGAGGGTTAGCTCGGCCCAAAGTAGCAATACCTTTTCCGACCCAAAGATGGCTTTTACAGGCATTGGATTGGATCTAAGTTGAACAAACGGAGTTAACGAGAAAAAAGGAACCGGACGGCGGGAATGAAGTGAAGTGAGATATAGAAGTACAGAACCATGCAACAAAACCTGTTCTCCATGCAAGAACCTTGCATGAAAGTGTGTACACAAGCCTGTGAAGCTTGAGTGGCTAGTGAGGCTATCTTGTGAAAAAACAGTATTCCTTTATGAGGAAAATAAAAATGTACAACCAAGCCACCTGGCCGTCCCGAATTCGTCAGCATGGTACTGCATCATCTTATGAAGCAACATACCCTTTGGGGTTCCAGGAGGAAGGGTCGCCGCAGTCACAGCAGCCTCCTGACTCACTTCGGTACATCACTGGCAGTGCAATCAGGGGGGGTTGCAATTATGGGGTTTGAGGATTAAGGTTGGGGTTAAAACAATTCGAGCTGACTAGCCTCCTAACTTTCAGTGATGCATCACTTTCGGTGGTTCATATAATGGGAAGGTTTATTAGGATTCGACTTGGGTTTGTGACAGAAGAGTCACAAACCAGTACACCTTGATGTCAACAAGTCTCTGAACCAACATCCAGGCCCCACTACCCATGACGCACAAGAAAACAATATCATCACTTTCATGAAGATTCCCCAGTCAAACGTACCATAGTCATGATTACGGTGGTCCCCCTCCTGAAAGCACTTCACGCAGATGGCACTGTGATAGTAACGGGGGAAACGGTGGGGAGAGAAGTGGTGGTGGGGGTGGGGAAGGAAGAGAGAGGGGAGGGTCGAAGGGGAAGGTGTTTGGTGGAGGGGAAAGGCTGGAGGAGAGGCAGCAGAAAGGAAAGCACCACAAGATATGGAATATGATATGAGCCCTGATAGAGAGCCGAACCAGCTGTGGCTAAAAATTGAGTTTTGAGGCGTCTCAAAACTCAACTTTTATCACGGGGAGAGGCTCGGGGAGAGGCAGCAGAAAGGAAAGCACCACAAGATATGGAATATGACATGAGCCCTGATAGAGAGCCGAACCAGCTGTGGCTGAAACTGGCCATTACCAGGTGTGGCAGAACTAACAGAGCATTCAGTTACATACCAGCGAATTATTTTTTTCTGATATTAGATTCAAAGATTCAGTTGATGAATGTCAAGTGATAGACATTCAAATGAAACAAGCGACACAAAGGACACATTGACACGTTACATGTCGCAAAATGAATCTTTCCCCTTTCCTCCTTAACAGTTTTCAAAGAAGAAGCGTCCAAGGATGTCCTGTCTGTGCGGAACCAAATTGGTCTGTACACATCACATTTGGTCCTGAATTCGCGATGAGAGCAGCAGATAGCATGGCTAGCTTAGTTGGTCCGGTAGTTGCACCAGCTAGAAGCTATCCCACCGTGCTTCTGTTCACTATTACAACCACGTTGACTTTTGAGACGTCTAAGGAACCTGCCTGGCGTCGTTGATCTGGCAGTCGCGGCAGCGATACGCGATCGCGCCGTACGTCCACACCACGTTGCACTGCGACGCGCCTTGCTCGGCCTCGAGCTCCTCCAGGTAAGCGGCGAATCCGCCGGGATGTGCGCCGCAAAGCACGGTCTCTAGAGCCGCCAGGTCGGAGTCTTCAACCTTCACTAGCTCCTCAAGCCATCGCTTTAACTCCATCGCGGCCTCGCGACTCGTTATTAGAAATGTTGCCTTCTAAATGTGGCTGATTCTAATCGTCTTCAGCTTTGTTGGTTGCTCTAGTGGTCTCAATCCTTCAAATTTCCTGGTCGGTCACCGTGCAGCAAAGTAACCGGTTCGCAGCACCGACACGAGTTTCGTTGCGTATGATGCGCCGCTATCGACCTCGCTACACTAGCTGAACGAAATAAGACTCAACCATGGTAGTCATTGAAGTCTCGAGCAAGGAAGCTAGAATTTATGAGGGATAA